AGCCGGGTGCTGGTCTGGCCGGCGACGCGCGTGCCCTGTGGCCAAACACTGCCTGGAGTGAGAGCAAACTACCAGCGCAGTGGGGCCAGTGTGCGTGTGCGTGTATGCGCGCGTGTGTGTGTGCGAGAGGGAGGGCGAGCGAGCGCGGCGGAGGGGGGCCAACTGCTTCACACTTTCAACACTGCACGGAAGAGGGAGAGCGAGAGAGCGAGAGAGCGAGACTGGAGACGCACAGCTCCCCCCCAGGATCTCCCAAGCCTACCGTCCCGCAGGTTATAGAACAGAGCCCCCAAAACCGAAACAGGAAAACGGACAGCGGGTGAACATGGACGAAGGAATTCCTCATTTGCAAGAGAGACAGTTACTGGAACATAGAGATTTTATAGGGTAAGGTGCACGCACCCTTGCGAATAGCTGTTTAGGCTCCGGTTTGATTTTTTTTTCTTCTCCAGAAAGTGGTGTGGAGAGGGCGAGGGCACAGCCCCTCGCTGAATGGGTGCCTGATGGTGATTTCTGTTTTGCAGACTGGACTATTCCTCTTTGTATATGTGTAAACCCAAAAGGAGCATGAAGCGAGACGACAGCAAGGTAAGTGTAAGTTTCCGATGTTCCTCATAACCTGCCTAGATAGTTAAATTAGGGCCATTGATTTCACAGCGAAGCTCTACCCGCAAATATATTCCAGCCCCTGAGCTTCTCCAACTGTGAATTTTAAGTGGCTTGCTGGGTTCTCTCAGGGGGATATTAAACATCATACCTGAATTTAAATTGCATTGCAGAACAGTTCAGAGGAAAGTGATTTTTGAGGTGTAGTTTATCACTTAGTATATTTTATGGGGGTGGGGGATTATACCCAGTGAGTGAATGTTTAGCTTATTGTTTTCTCTCTTCCACGATTCTCAAATATTAAGGATACCTACAAATTACCGCACAGATTAATAGAAAAGAAAAGAAGAGACCGAATTAATGAATGCATTGCTCAGCTGAAAGATTTACTGCCTGAACATCTGAAATTGACAGTAAGATGCTTCATTTTCATTCTTTGCTGCTCTCTAAGGGCGTGTTAAAACCTGGTACGACTCCCAGAGATTTAAGAATAAATGTAAATATAAGATGCCTGACTTATAACTTGTGCCATAGTGAGCAGAGTTTCCCACAAACTCAGAGTAGCTGCTCCCAACTGAAGGCAAGAAATCATTTGTAACCTGTCTTGTGGAAAGCTCAAGAAGTAGAAGAATAGTACTTCTTTCAAAGTGTTTGCTTAACTAGCCGTGCTGAATAGAGAGGCAATCAAGCCCAGTGTGCGTTTTTAAGTAACCAAGTGCCCCTTTCTCTTTTGCACCACTGCAGACGCTGGGGCATCTGGAGAAAGCTGTAGTCTTGGAATTAACTTTGAAACACTTAAAAGCTTTAACCGCCTTAACCGAGCAGCAGCATCAGAAGATAATTGCTTTACAGAATGGTAAGTCAGTTCAGGGAGGCCAGCCTACCCTGATGAAGCAGGGCAGCCCACAGGGGAGCAGTGGTAGGACTCCCGCGCCCCACCCCCACCTCCTTCTGTGGTCCACGGGCTCCCTCTCAGTTGTTTAATTGCCTTCCCTTCATTGGAAAGTGCCCATTTCCCGAAGCATCCTAGAGGTTTTTCAGCAGAACTCGGAGGAACCAGATTTTTATTTCAAGTGGCGGTCGCACCCTCTTCACTTTGGTTTTCAGCCGGGAGGAGTGCGCTCCCCCATTCCCACCCCCGCCACCCCACTTCTTTCGGCAACCAGTGGATTATATCACTTGAATACTGAGAAAAACCCGAGATCACTTTAGTCGATGCAGGGCCCACGTGATGAGCAGATGTGTTAACGTCGGTATTTTTCTTCTCGCCTCCACTCCTCCGCCCCCCA